TGTCAGTCTTTGAAACTGAACTTTAACTGCTGTGGTGAAGTAGCCCTGACATCACCTCTCAGGTGGTGTGATCTTGCCCTCAAAATAAATGTCGAAGTTCCTGTTCACTGCAGTTTACAGACAATGGCTTTAGGTACTGATTTGTCTGATCTTATTGAAGACTGAGTAAAAGTGGAAGGAAATTAATCTCCTACGCATTGTGTTCTTCATATATTATCTAAAACAAGGAGTATCTACTCCCTTATTTTTGTGATTGCTATCTGCAAGTTTTCAAAGAGAAGAGCATTTGTGCAAGAGCATCAACAGGATTTTTTTTGTGTAATACAAAATAGTGCATCAGACTTCAATTCTATACATTACATGTTTATCATAGGATACACAGAATGTGTGTTTTCTAATATTTGACATACAGAACCTAACCTTTACTACATTTTGTGCATCTTTTATGAGTATGTTAGTTCAAAATTAACAATTGCGTATTTTGTTTTTAGATGTTTATAAGAAAAAAAACCCTGCTTAGTAATGTTTAAAGAATTAGCACTTTCTTACATGTATCTCACTAGTTTTGAAAAATACTGAAAAAAGTTACTAAGTTTAAGAAGTGCTATTTTCTTAACAAATGCTCCAGCCTTTTTATCAGGCCTTTGATGAATAGTTTATCGGATTGTCCAACAAATCAATACAGTTCAAAGAACAAAAGCAAGTAGTTTATATCTGACAGGTATTGCAAAATGATGCACTTTGGTTAGGAAAGTATGTTTACAAAAGCCTCATGACTGTACTTTTTAGTAATGTTAGACATCAAAAGAACAGTCATGTAAAGACTATGTTAAAATAATGGGGTTCTTCATATTAATAGTTTGAAAAATATGATCTATATCCTCTGTGAAATTTTAAGTGGGTCTGATGTTCAGTATTAAATGACAGTCTGTGCAAATACATATTCTGAAGTATCCTGCTAGACAGATAGAGGACTTAAAAGAGAAACGTCACAGTTCTACCTGCAAAGGGAGAAATGAGGGTAGTGCAGAGGAGTGGTATGACACCATAGGGTAGTTAGCTCTGTCCCGCCTGTACTAGTAGGAACACAGAACATTCGGAAATCAATTCAGAAAGTGTGTTAAAGCTGTCGTGGGGGTTTTTTTGATGCAAATTAATGGCACATACAAAAAGAACACTAAATGAGGAAATCAGATAGCAGGTATCTTTTTGATTGTTAATATACTACCTTCTATTTTTAATACTAGAAGAGAAAAAACTGATTAATTTGCCTTTAATGTACAGTCAGAACTGGTTTTACTTTGGCTGTCCACATGCCTGTGTTTATATCAGGTCACCAGTCAGTGTCTTCACCTATAACACCGGTATAATTTAAGCACCTCACAGAATATAGGAGTACGATATCACAGAATGGCTTTACAGGCCAAAGCCTGTGCAAATGGAACGACTCTGCGTAACCAATTAATGTGTGCTGCACACACTTACGTGGCTGCAGGAGAACAGGTTGCCATCACGCCGTGAATTGTTTGCAGTGTTCCTGCACAATGATGTGCCTGTGGTTAAGCTCTTCCCACCACACCTCAGGATGATAAGTTTGGACTTTAATGTGAAACTTGGCTCTTTCACCTGAAACTTAAATCCTGGTGCATATTATGGGACACGTGTCTGAATTTAGAGTGTTTCTGGGCAAGATACCATTTGACCATATCTATATGAATATATAAGAAGTCTTTAGGGTTGCACTGTCCTCTGAAACTGTGAGCCCGGTAGGTTTATGTTCCATCTTTTATAGCAACATATTTTTGAAGTATCTGCACTGACAAATGAGATTAATAACCTTTTCCAAGCGAGAAAGAAACCTTCAATATGCTATTAATAAAACTTAATATAATTTAAAATTAATGTATTTAATTGAATAATCTTTTCACAAAAATAAGGTGAATTTCTTTTTCATTTTTATTGCTGTAGTTTTTTGTATTTTGGAAGAAGAGCCTTTTAAAAAAAAAGATTGAAGCAGCAGTGAATGATTCAGGAAGACTAGTCAGAACAATACTGTAAAAAAGGTTATGACATGAAATTAAAACCTAAAACTAGCTTTATTCCTTTAAAAGGAATAACAGGTTTTATGCATTCCTAGAAAAACTAATGATTCTGCATAAATTTAAAATCCCATAGAGTATTTTTCAACCCAGAAATTCCCCCCACCTCTTCCTTTAATTGACTTACAGGAATTCTAACCTGTGCTTTGTTTTACATGAGGAAAAAAACCCAGGGCAACTTAGTGTAAAGGTGTATGATTTCCAGAAACTCTGAAGACATAAAAAAATTGAATTATCTTTCAAAACTTCCTTTAGGAAGTGTTTTGGGAAAATAAAACATATGCAGTTATTAAAAATAAAATTGCTTGCTCAATGAATTATGTACAAACACCAACAAAAATAACATAAAAGGAGAAATTTATTATAATGTTAATGACTGGTAGTTATCTTATTTTTTCAGGAAGTAGCCATTTCAAATACTTTTATACATACATAATCACATTTTGAAGATTATGGTATATTATTGGAGAGATTTTAAACATTCCAATAAAATATCTTATTGTTCATTCTGTGATAATTAACTTTTTGTTAAATTTTCCACCACATTTCCCATTACTATATTTAAGTTATTGGGGAAAAAAAAAAACACCACCCAATTTTTTCATCTAAAGTGCTGCTTTTCTAAGTATTGTGAACATCTATCTGTTCTTCAGTTGCAGAGAGAAAAGCAAAGCACATTTGTGTTCCTTGGTTCTTTGTTTCCACCTTGAAAGCCTAGAAGGGAAGTGGTCTGTTTGCTTTATGAAGCAAAGACGATTGATGATCTGTCACAGGATATATGGTACAACAGGAAGCCAACTTAACAGCCAAAAAGTCTCATGAATACATTTGTCCATTTTGGTAGATGAACTTGTGAAAATTAAGGTTGCAGAGGTGCAGCTGGCTCTCTGCTGCAGTAGACAGCAAAACCCACTTCCTCTTAGAGGAAGAACTTTGGAACTGTTGCCGCTTAAATCAGTATTCAACGCTAAATTTTTAAATGTACTTTTTGTATGGGGCTGAACAAAGAGTGCTGATAACCATAGTGGCACTGATCAGTAGCTGCCACTTGTTTTCAGAAATATGCAAGCCTTTACTCAGATTTTTTTTTTTAGTCAAATTCAAGTCACTGTGCGTTTTCACTAGTTTAGCCCATGTTAAGCAGTAGCTACAGCACCCATACTTCAGTCACAAATGAGTACGAGGCCATCTCTACTGTAGCAAATGAGTAAAATTATGCTTCTGACCCACAGGAGGGCAATGTAGCCCTATTAAAAACAAACAAAACCTTAAGCCCCAAACAAAACAAAAAAACCCAGAAGAGTGAACTACTCTCATAAGGTTGGCTATTTTTGTCTGACACACCAGCACTGATTTATACAGCAAACGATCTTTAGTCTTTCATAGTTTAGAGGAAGACGGGACTGTTACAAGCCATCCTTTTTATAGGAGAAGGAAATAAGGCAATTATCAGGAATTAAGTCTGCAAAACTCTACTTCATACCCCAAACAAACATTAGTGCTTATTATTGTACCACTGAGATGTAACTGGTTTAACTGGTAGAAAAAAAAAAAAAGTGTTTTTCCCTTTCTGAGCATTAATCCTGATGGCTGCTTGTCACCAGATTAGATTGTGCTTTGCATTTAATCAGTATTTTCTGTCACATCTTTAATCTTAATAAAAATCTCAGTTATTTTAAGGTTCATGAATTGAAAAAAAGGAAATTTTAACTGAAGGAAAAGACAAACGATAAGTGTTATCTGCATTAAAATATTACAAACTTGTTAATTCTCCACAGAGTACTTTATTAGCTTGAGATATACTGAGTATCTTGTTGCTAAAACTGAATTCAAATTCAAGTAGTTTTTGATTTTTTTTTACTGTTCAGCCCTTGAATACTCACCCTACTGGTTATACTGAGGAAAAAATATACTTTAATAAATGTTTAAAAATTAGGATTTAGTGAAAAACTTACTTGTCTAAAAATGTAAAATGTGATACTTGAACTAGTAAATCTATCCAAGTATTTGCAATTACTTGTTTGACATTTGCAAATGCCAAAAATGTCTTCGCAATGCCTCAGGATCCAAGAATGATCCGTTCTTCCCCATGTCTAGTCTTGTCCCAATAGGTGAGATAAGTCAAACAGGTTCTCAAACTTCAACTTTATAAGACAAAGACCATTGTACTCCAACAATCAAGGAAAGAAAATGACTAGCTGCAGCAGTGGATCTCAGTGACCTGTCTAAGAGAAAGCCCGTAGGAACCAATCCAATTCACTCCAAAATTACTGTAGTAGGAATGGCTATGTTATTAAAAATTTGTATTTTGTTCTACCTGACATAACTGCATTGCCAGAAGCACAAAGAACACAAATTTGCTCTTACTGTGACTCAGTATTCACTAATACGTTTTAACAAGTAAGAATTCCAGTACTTACAGGTATTACTTTTAAGTTACGGAGAGAAAAATCCCTCAAGTACCAGTTATATATTGCTGGACACCTTGAATGTTTGTTACCACAAGAGGAGAGGAAAAAATGGAAGTGCATTGTCACATGCTTGCTGTTAAATGATCTTGCTGAAATACCCAGTAAAGACAAGCATTTATGAGTCTTACTCATCATGTGCTGTATGTTTTATTTTTTTGATATCCCAGATGAGCCTGTTTTACTAACTTCTACTAATATGATATCTAACTCTTTGTTTTCAGATACTGGATTTTGTGTGTGTCTTGGGTAGCTCGCTATTTTCAGTATGTTAAAACCACAGTGATCAGTCCTCACTTTAACATCTTCACAAGTTAATCCATTGCATTGCTTAAATAAAAATACTCAGTACTGGGGGTTACTTACAGTTTTGTATATTTGATTAACCAAAATACCATGTGAAGAGAAATAAGTTACAAAAGTTGAAATGAAATGGCTATGGTAATCTGTTTAATCAATGAAGTAAGTCAAAATATAAATATTTATAAGAAATCAACCCAAAAATAGCAAAATATTTTACTTTAAATTGTAATGTAAAAAGATAAATCTGATTCCATTCTGTATTTATCCTTCTAAGAGAATCATTATTTTGTATGTTACTAATATGAACCATTAACTCAAGTCCCTGTTAAATTACAGTTCAGTTGGAAAGTTCCAGAAGGCCAATCAACATTTCAACCAGAAGTAACGCTGTAACAAAAGAACAGAATTTAAACAAATTTCATTATTTTGCTTAAATTAAAAATCACAATACCACTACCACACAGTTAGTCAGGTGTCTGCCTAAGTCACATGTGGTGAACAAAGTGTGGAAAGCAACAAAGACTCTTTTATAACAGCAAATACACTGAACAAACCCAGCGATCACACGCTCACTGCTCACAGGAAAACAAACTTGTTACACTGAACATCGATTACGCTTAGTTAGTACATGGACTATGAGAAATTGTATCAAGCAGTGACTTATTGTGAGGGCAGCCTTAGTGTTTGGGTCTCCAAAAGGTATGAAGAATCACAGTGTAAAATAAAAAGGGCTCAGTTCTGCAAAGTGTATTTTTGCATCGTCACGTTGATATCAAGGAAAGGGAAAAAGTGCGTAGCGATTTGCAGCACTGCACTGCAGTCAAGTATCAGAACTCCCACAAAATATTATTTTAATTTATTATAATATATTATTTTAATGAGGCCTGAGCCTCGAAGTACTCTAAGATAAATTAATTCCTGATTCCCGGTGCCATTGTAACCTCTGAACAAATCTAACAGGACAAAGCCATCTAAAAACCCTGTTCTGTTTCTGTCTGAAGACGTTTCATCCAGCAATACAGGTAACATGAACGTCACGAATATCTCCTCTCTTTTTTCCACTGCTTGGTTGCCTGTGCGTGTGACAATGCTTCATGCGATGGTTTTTATGTGCGTGCAGGTTCACGATCTCCACCATATGGAAAGTACAACAGGAAACCATGGCAGTAAAACTGTGGCGTGTGCTGGCACAGCACTGAAAAATATTTTCAATTCAAACCTTCTCTACCATAGAAAAAGGTCATGGGAATTGACTTTTTCAGTCAGTTAACTCAGTACGAGTAAAAACTCCACTCACACAGATGTTACTCAGCACCTTTCCAAAGATTTTAGTTGGCTGCTCTAGAGAGCGGGTAAGTGCTTAGAACTGACCTAGAGACGTCACCTCATTCTGAGAAGCTGACCCTGGGAGAAGAGGAAACCCATCAGACTCGAGGTGTGGCCTTTGCACTGTCCCTTTCCCTTTCATAACTACCCTGAAGGAGGCGGCTGCTGTTGGCTGTGTTTGCCTCACCCCTGCTCCACACACAGGGCCACGCTACTCAGTGAAACCATCTCTGGAGATTTGTCTTTTGGAGGTTAAGGAGACATTAAAATACTTTTGTAATTAAATTAAGCCAGTTAATTTGCCATCTCTGTATCAGCACACCATCCTCCTCAGCACCATGGAAAAGAAGGCACTGATGAGTTCCACTCTGCTTGCCCTCTGCCCCTCCATGGAGCCATGTTACTCAGTGAAATGTGCTTCTCCAGGATTCTTGTGTCAGCCCTAGCAGTCTGAGTCTCTCCGCTGGAGGAGTAGCAAAGTACGCCTTTTGCTCCTCCGAGTACTTTTCCTTCACTTCAATGATGTCCCTGTAGCGGCCGTCCTGCCAGTGGAAATTGAATTGCTCCAGTAACTCAATTCTTTTCTCCTCTGTGTTCACACAGTCAACAGGGGCAGACTGTTCCAGGAATGGTACCTGAATATCTGGGAACAGGAGGAGACCCCGGATAGCAAACCAACCTCCATACTTGGGATGGATACATACGCCATAAATCTTCTGGAAGGAAAAAAGAAGGATTTAGGATGTCTCATTTTGTCTCCAGTAATGGTTAGAGTTCAAAGCATCAAGCTTTGATGCAACTTCTCACACTCTTAGCCCTCTGTTGGAGTGCTATACAGAGAAGGAAAGCTCTTTCCTGAACGAAGCATTGCATTTCATTCCCATTTTCCTGTGCCCACACACACACTACCCTGTAATGTGGGGAGAGGTCCCTTTTAGAAAATCTAACAGAAAGTAACCACAGTGCAACTCTTTTTTTCTTCTATTTCTAATGCTCCAAGCAACAGGTCTTTTACACTGAGATTTATTCTCCTGTCTAAGTAGGTTTAATAGACCAAGATACTATTCTCCATGTATGCATCTCCCTACCACCCCAAAGAATCCTGGAAGCTTCTGATTCCTGTCTGAAGCACTTTATGGATCTATAGCTGATCTGGCCTTTTGTATTTTCCTGCAGGAAGAACTAGTGAGTAAACAATAGTTGTACCATTCAGTGATTGAAGTTTGGCAGTTCTTCCCAGATTGAGTTTTTGCTTTACCTTCTTACCCCAAGGATCATGCTTCACATCCTTCCTTTGGTAGTAAAATGCGGCTCCAGCAACATGGGCAGCTGTCTGTGCCAAGAACTTGGGCTTTCGGCTTGGAAGGATCTCGTAATCAAAGATGACGTCCACCTTCTGCTCAGGGAATTTCTGGGAAAATTAAAAATCATCAGCCCAGGCTCATGGAAAAAGATTTGCCACTACAGAGGTGCTGGATGCTAGCAAATCAGGCACACGAGAAGCCTGCAGGCTTTCACGTCCTGCAATCTATCAGCACGCTTGTGGCCTTGGGTTTTCAAATGATGTCTGTAAAGCACTCCACATAGCTACAGGTTGTAATGGCAAAGGGACAGAATATGCAAGTAAAGTGGGTCAACAGCCTGTCGATGCTCTTCACAAGAATTACCGTCATGAATAATGCTTTACCCTTCTAAAGAGCGAGGGCAGGAACCGGGAAGGCTTTTTCTACTGCTCAGCCCACCTGGTTATATGCCACAATAGTAAAAGGAATCGGTATTTCAGGTTCTTACCTCCTTCACATGTGACAAATGATGAGAAACACATTGATCCACAGGATCCCTGATTATTTTTAACCACTTTTTGTTCACAAAAGGTTTAAGGGCTTTGTCAAACATGGAAGGTGTGCTGAGGACCACGAAGGCCAGCGTGTCATCTGGGTAGGGGAGATGAAAGGCTGGCTGGAGAACAGCATTGTACCATCCAACCTTTGGCAAAGAAAAACAAATCTCCATTAAAACAGGGACACCACTCTTTTGCTAGCGGGCATGCAGGAATTTTAAAAACTGGAAAGAAGTGTAGCCACCTTCATTTGCAACCCAGATTATGCAGCCTGCCTACTGCCTCCCATTCAAACCAAGGCTGTTTTGCATACTGGGATTTACGGTTTCTGGAAGCTGTCCTGCAAGCTGTACCTGAGAGATAAGAATCACTCACCGCATTCAGCTCAAGGCTGCCCTTTATCCAGCTCTGCTCAGAAACTGTAGAGGGAAGTATCAGCAACCAGTCTCGCCAGTACAAATCAGATGTGTCGGTTTAGATGAAGCTTTTACAGCTTTTTATCTCAGCATCGGCCAGAAAGAAACTGGCGCTTCTGTTTTGCTCCCGTGACTAGTTGCATGGTTTATTTCTTCAGC